GCCCCTTCTATGCTCACCCACATCCCCAGGGTTCCTGGGGGGTGGGCAGGAGCAAGCACCAAGGGCCTCGACCTCTCCTGTGGGCTTGGTGTGGAAGTCCAGGCTGGATCCAGAGGGTCATGCTCGGGAAGTCATCTGACAGGGAGGCACCCGCAGCCGAGAGGGGGTGCAACTTCTTGAGGCACCACTGCTTTTGTGGGAGAAGAGACAACATATTCTGCTTCCACCTGATGTAGCCAGGCCTCCCAGCCTGTGTGCATTTTCCTTTTTATCAGACCATGTTTGCACTAGATAATGATTACATTCATCGTGGGGAGTTGGTATGTGTTTTTTTGTTTTCTGTTTTCTAAGTCCCATTCTTTAAGGCCGAAATAGAGCTGTGGAGTTGCAGTCGGCCTCACTCAGAGTGTTTATTTTCTCCAGAAAAGAGTCTTAGGGGACGGGCGGGTGGACAAATGGCTGAACAGGGCACCTACCCTCACCCACCCAACATCCTCCCCGGAGGTCCCCATGGGACCAAACAGCCCTACATTCATGGCCATCACCACCGCCTCCCTCAGGCTGGGGTCAGAGTGGATGGATCTCAGCCCAGCACCCAGTGCAAAGCTCCAACCATCCCCCCTCTCTGCCTAGGATCCCAGGCTGCCCTGAGCCCAGGTGCCAGGAATGCAGCAGTGAGCCCTGCCCTCCTTGGGCTGCTGCTACACTGGGGTGTGCGCTGGATGCCCACTGCCTTTACGAAGCACCTTGTGCCCACCCACCATCCCCCAGACTGTACCCTTCACACTTGGGAGCGGGCTGTTTCATGCCAGGTGCCCCAAGTGGGCGATCACCAGCCAGGTGCCCTTGTGTGGGCTGTCACATCTCAGTTGCCAGGGAAGCTGCCCTGGGGAGGGACCAGGCTGGGAAGGGTCATCCAGAATGGGATATTTTTTCTTGTTTACCTCTTAAGAAGAAAACCAAACCAAACCACGGTGAGCATGCTGTGGAATTTCGAGTTCTGGGACTCTCTTGGTGGCCCTCTCTCCCAGGTCTTTCTTCCTCCCTTCTCCCGGCCGCTTTCCCTCTTTGTTGCCAAGTTCAAACGCTGCTGCTGAAACCCAGCCCAGCGTCCTCAAAGCCTGGAAACTTCCAGCACAGCGACCATGCATAAAGTTGGGGTGGCCAGCCCTGGATGACAGCAGCACCAGGCCCAGGGAGGCGGTGACTGAGGCCTCGGCTCCTCGGGGACAGTCTGCAGCCAGCCGTGAACTGGACCCTGCTCCGAGGGTGCGAAGGATGACCAGGTAAGCCAGGTCAGGGTCCCTGGGTCGCACCACACAACAGGTAGCACAGCACTCCGGGTGGCTGCCTGAAGCGCAGCTGCACCCTGCCCAGCCCTTCGCCCTCCAGGGCCAGTTGGGAACAAAGGCTGGGAAGCTGGGAAGGGAATCTTTCCCGACATCTCCCTCCCGAGCTCGGCTTCGCTGCCAGGGCTCTTAAAGGATAAAGATCACCCCCCCCCCATATCCCCAGGGTTCTCTCCACACCCTGCTGGGCGCCCAGAGGAAGCAGGGACAGCAATGGTACTCAGCTCTCAGGTGCCACCCTCCAAGGCCCAGGGGACTCTCCACACAGCCAAGACCTGGGGGGCAGGGACTGTGGCCAGCTTCCCTCTCAGTGCTGCAATGGGAACTGGGGTCTGGGGGACTTTGTTCCATGCCTCAGCCTGAGTGGCTTCCCTCTGGCCGTCCTGGATGCCCTTGCTGGGCAGAAACCGCAGCCATCACCACCCTGCTACTCAGCTTGGGGCTGCCGTGGAACAGTGGGTGTGGTGGGTGCTAGGGACCCTTGGCAGCTATGGACAGAGGCCTCGGAGGGCCTGAACCCCAGGGAAGGGTGTGGGCTACTGCTGCCTCCCCTCTCCTCAGCCTGGTCCCACTCTGAGTTTAACCAGGTTCCCTAACCCCGTAGGCCTCCCTCCCAGCATTAACTGGGTCCCCACCCTGCAGAGAGCATCAGGAGCCTTCACTGCCATCCCCAGGGTGTATGGTGCCCAGATTCCTCTGAGGTGAGATTCCCAGGGGCTATGAGGCAGTGGGGTGACCAGGAAAGGGACTCTGCCCTGCTCTCAAGGGGCTGGCATTTAATGAAGGAAAGACAGTCTGTAGAAAGTGAACCTGAACCTGAACTTCGCCCTTGCCCCAGGTGTTGAAAGCCTGGGCATAGTGGTAACCTGCAGGGCCAGCTCTTCAGGGAGACGGGCTTAGCGGGCTGACTTTGCCTCCCAAGCCTCAGGCTACCCTCCTATCAAATGGGTTGATAGCAATTGCCTCTGATGTGTTGCTAGGAGGATGGGAACAATCTTCATGGACACTTGTTTTGCAAAGCATGTAGCCAGTACTTGAGCACCCTTAGCTGCTGTGTTCCCAGGGCCAGGAGAGCCACTCCTGCCTCCTCTCCCTGTCTCTGGCATGGCAGAAATTTGTCTCTTGTGTCTTACGTCAACTCTCAGTTGCTTGCTTCTCCCTCCCTTTTTGTGCTTGTTTTCTTATTCCTGAGCCTGGGTCTTATGTCTGAGGCCTATGCTGAGCACTGGGGCCCTATGTGATGATGGCTCCAGAGCCCTGCACAGTGGTGCATGTCTGTAATCCCAGCACTGGGAGGCTGAGGCAGGAAGACCACAAGTTTTTGTTTTTTCCTGAGGCTGAGATTTGAACCAGAGCCTCGCACATGCTAGGTAAGTGTCCTATCACTGAGCTACATCTCCAGTGCAAAGGAAGATCACAAGTTTGGGCCCAGCCTGTGCAATTTACCAACAGGGTGAGACCTTATCTCAAAACTTTAAAAACAATTTTAAAAGGGGCTGGCGATCTAGCTCAGTGGGAAACCCCTAGGTTCAACCCCCAGTGTCGCCCAGGGGATAGAAGCATTAGGATGAGGGTCTCAGGCCAACTTCCCATCCAGGGAAGCTGGGCCCTGCACAGCGCTTCTGCCCTGGCCATGCAGTCTGTGAATGCCACCCGGGACAGGGAGCTCCCTGCCTCTCTGGCAGTGATTCAGCAGGAGTTGTAGGCTGAAGGAAGCCTCCCTGAGCCTTCACTGGGAGGACCAAAGGAGACAGGTCCCTTCTGGTACAGTGTGGCTCAGTGTCTGAGGCATTTAGTTTTTCTGAGGAAAATAAGCACCTCATAAGAATGTCCTAAGGACTTGGTGAAGGTGCTGATTTTAAAAGTCCCCAGAAAAAGCACTGCGAATGGTCAGTATGTGTTTCTCTAAAACAGAGCCCTCCCTCCCACTTGCTAAGAGTGCATTTAACAATGCCAGGGCTAAGCTAGTGACCTCGTGCACCTCTTTCTGAGCCAGGTTCCGTCCTGGGGACAGCAGATATGTGCTTTGTTTTTCTTCATGCCCCCGAGTTTGGAAAACCTGAACAAAATATGAGAAGAAAAGAAGTCACCAAGTGCAGATAAACTGAACTGCTACACAAGCTGGCTGCGGGATTCAGGAAGCTGGCAAGCCGGGTCTGGCGTCAGACCCTGCTGTCCTCACCTGGCCACCGCATCACAGGCAGGGCCAGTGCGGGATGACAATGTGTAGCCCTGCTTGAGACCACTGGAGGATTTTAAGAAGGCGAAGGCAAGACATTTCACGGATCCCAGAGTGGTCCTGGGAGCAGAAACCCAAATGGCAGCAGAAGTCACAACCAGGAGGCTGGGCCTGGTCCTGGCATCTATTGGTGTCATATGGTGGGGCTGAGAGGAACACAACTCCTCTCTGGAGTGGCTTTTTTGGTGCCATTACTGATGTTCCATGCTAATTTTAGAGCACCTCGAATCTCTCAGTCACCTTTGAAACCACACTCACACAGCCGCTGGGAGTGCCTCGCCCAGCTTCCATGCAAACCTATCCGTTTTTAAAAATTAGTCTCTGAGCCTCGTTATGTAGATCATTTTTCCTTCTGAGTGGTTCACTAAATATTTGATCACCACGCTTTGCCTGTGTCAGAAGATGCTGGTCTACAAAGTAGTTCTGCTGACTAGTTAATGTTCCGCTGCATGCGTTTCCTTAACTAACCCCTTTTTAAATTTTTACTTTTATTACTCTATGTTTTCAGTACATAATGATTACACTCATCCTGAGGAGTTGGTCGTGGACAGAACACATCTTAATTCTCGTTATGTCTCTGTCTCCTCCCATCCCTCCTCCTCCCTCCATGTCTTGGCCCCCTTCCCATTTCCAGCAGATCCATCTCCCTGTTTCCTATTATCTACCTTTTATTTTGTTCTTTAATTTATTTATCGGGCACCCAGGTTCTTCCCAAGTGTTTCCATTTTCCCTCCTATGAACACCACGAAACACATTGTGTGTGGCCTTCTATTTCCTAAGCTGGTAAAACCAGGCTTTCGTGCTGGGGCTTCCAGGAAGGAAAGACATTTTGGTCTTGGGTTGTCTCTGAAACAGCCCACTTGCCTTGGCTGAGTGCCTGGCATCCGTGACTGGCCTCCTTCACAGATGAAGCCCAGGCTCCATGAGCAGAGGTCCTGGCCCGGGGCCCTCTGTGTGGACCCTGGAGGTTCTACACCCCTAGTGAAAGGAGGAGAGCAGAAAACAGCCCCGTGTCCCATCACACTGTGGACTGGGTGTGGGGCCCACGAGTGGCCAGACAGGCTGCCCAGACCACTCTCCTGTTGGGCTGGAGTTGGAAAGATGGCAATGTCGAGTTGGGAGGGCGTAGCCTTTAGTGTGGTGCCCACTCCTGGGCAAGGCGTCCTGGATGGCCGGGAGGAGGTGGAGGAGGAGGGAAGCGAGGAGCGCCAGCTGCCCTGGAGGTGAGGTCAGGATCCCAGGGGAGAGGAGGAATCTGCCACCCGACTGAGGCCCTGAGGGTGGGAATGAGGTGTGTCCACCCCAAGCCCGCAGGTCCCGAAGGTGAGCACTGTGTGTGAAGTGACCACATTGGGGCCCCATCCTTGCATTACCCCCTCCCATTCTGTCACATGGCTGGAACAACGAAGATTTACTTTATTATTTTTTTAATGTGCTGCTGGGAAAGGAACCCAGGGTTTCATGCATGCTAAGCATACTCCAAATTTATGTGTTGATTTACTTTAGTCAGGGAAGTCTGAAGTCTGATGTGGCTGAAGAGGGTCTCACTGGGCTAACACCAAGGTGTCAGCAGGGCTGGGTCCTTCTGGAGGCTCCAGTTCAGGGCCTCCTGTATCCCTGGGTTTGCGGTCCCCTCCGTTTTCAAAATCAGCAGTATCACCTCGCTCTGTCTCCAGCCACAACTGGAGCTAATTCTCTGGTTTTAAGGACCACCGTCATTCCTTGGGCCACCTGGGTGATCCAGGGTGCTCTCTCACTCAGGTTAGTCATACCTGTAGGGCTCCTTCTGATCATAGAGGAACACTGTGACATCTGAGGCCTGGGACCTGACCTTTCCTTGAGCACGAGGACAGAAAGATGCCACCTCCCTCCCTTCCTTCCTGGCTTCCCACTTGGAGTCTGGAGCTTACACATGGTCATACCTAGAAAGGTCAGGGAAACTGAGGCCACAGATCCTCATGTGCTCTCTCCCTTCCCTATCCCAGGAGGTCGAAGCACCTGATCTTGGAGGGACACCCCTGCCCCCGTCCCCAGACCCTGGAGTGCAGGGGTTTCTCTTCTCATCTTGAAGGGAAGGAAGCTGAGGCTCTCAGGGGGCTGCAGCTGGTCCCTAAAGGGGACTGGCTTCCTGCAGAGAGAAGCAGGCATGACTGGGACTGTCCCTTGGGCAGAAGGGCATGGTGCTGGTCCTGGCAGAGCCCTCTGGCAGGAGCCTATGCCCTCAGTGACAAGCAGCTGAGAACCACACCTCAGGGCAGAGAGCTAGATAAACAGAGGAGGTAGATTCATTTCCCTGAAGACACAGCTCGCTGGAGAATCCAGGCACCCTCACCATCATCTGCCCAGACCTGCAGAGCGCTGTGGGACGATCTGAAGCGAGGCCAGGGTGCCATGGTTTAAGGGGAAGACTTTTCCAACATGGTGGTCACCTAGATAGGGGCGACACGGGCTCTTCCGAGTTCAAATCCTGGGCCACCTTTCTGGGGTGAGCTTTGGCACTTTGCCTGAACTCGCCATGCCTGCATCTCTCCACCTGTAGAATAGGGGTGACAATAATATTAGGGAACCCCTGAGAGCCTCCAGACCCCTCCCCTCAGCACAGCTCTGTGCACTCAGTGGATTCGGGCAGATTTCCTAGCATCTTGCCGTATGTCCTGACCCAAGCTGGACTTGTTCCCTGGCTGAGGCCCTTCCTGTCAGAGGCCGCCCCTTGCTTGGCTCAACCCCATGGTGCAAGGAGAACATGCATTCGTATCCTTCCTATTTTACAGGTGGGCAGACTGAGGCCCGGAGAGGCCAGGTAACTTGCCCAAGCCCACACAGCTGGCAAGGGCAGGGCTGAACTGTGCTGATGGCTAGACCTCAATCCTGTGCCCCCAGGCTATAGCCTATCCCAGCTGTCATTTATTCTTTAGTTCTCTCCTGAAGGCTGGCTGCTTTCAGGGACAGAAGGCTTCAGGCCACCTATGGGAGGAGGGACTTGCGTGAGTTGTGTGGAGGTGGAGGGGTGCACAGCACGGCAAAGAGCAAGCCTGACCCTGCTGCAGATGTCCCACTTGGGGAGCCCTGGGGCCCAGTGTCTGTTTGGGCCTGAGCTTAAGGTGCTCTGCTGGGAACAGAAGAGAAACTTCCTACACCGGTGTTTGGAGCTGAAAGGGTCCTTGGCACAGGAAGATGGCCAAGGCGGGCTCCACAGGGCAGACTCTGCCAAGGGTACTGCCAGCATTCCTGCCCAGCTGCCCGAGGCGGCACCTGCTCAAGCCTGGCACGGGAGGAGTTAAGCCGGAGTGGGCACCTTGGCCCGCCGTGATGGCCAGTGTCCAGCTCCCCACCCCCATGCCTTTCTTCCTTTTTGCCTTTTTCCTTCTTAATTAATCATACGCTGCTGCCCAATTTAAATATGGAAATGCCCAGGCCGAGGCGATGCAATTATTCATGAGGCCAGGCGGGCTGTCCGGGGCTCTCAGGCTATGGGGCGCATCGTGGCATCGCTTCCTTTCTGATGTGTGTGAAATTATGTGCACAAAAGGCGCCTCCTTATCTGGGTGTGTGAACTAAATAAATAAATAAGGGCTTTTGTTTGTTTGCCCGCTCATGCACATGACTGTTTTGACTAAACTGCTGGCGTTGTCTGCGCCTTTATGGGGCTCAGGAGACTGGGAGGCAGGGGGCCCCCGGGCTGGCCCAGAGGCTGGGGGGCAACCGCCGGGCACCTGGGGCCCGCTCCCTCCCCTGGCACCCCTCACTACTGCGCCCCCCGCACACACACCCTCGCCGGAAAGTTCGCCCTGCCCAGGCTGGGCTCCCAGGCAGCCTGGCACTGTGCCAGGCTCGCCGCAGAGCGCAGGCAGCGGGGTGGGGCGAGCAGCAGAGGCACAGAGGACGTGGCCGGGCGCCCTGGGCAAGAACAAGACCCGAGGCCAGGGACCAGGGGCCCAGAAGGTGAGGAAGCCCCAGGTGGGCACAGGGTGGGCAATCGGCGGGTAGCAGGCGATGCAGCCGGGCTGGGAGCAGGCCTCGAGGGGGGAGCAGGCTGGCGGAGGAGACAGGCACAAAGGAGGGCAGTGCCAGGCAACCGGCACAGGCAGCGCTGCCACCGCCCCAGCCGCCGGGCCTGGCCTGGGCTCCGTGGGGGACGCGCGTGCATGGGGCCCTGCAGGAGCGGCAGACGCAGAGCAGAGGCCATAGGGCCAGCCTCGCAGCACAGCGCGGCACAGCACAGGGGAGGAAGGGCCAGGCAAGGCAGGCGGGGCCCGGGGCTGTCAAGGAGAAAAACATCCCAAGGCCTGCAAATTGCTGCTCTCAGCTTCCCCCCTCCTCCTCCTCCTGCTTGGGGGAAAAAAAAGTAGAGCTTCCTCCGGAGGCGGATGCAAGAGGATACAGAATTTTAACCATCTCCTGCACCTACCCGAGCTGGGTTGGGCCCAGGCTCGGGGGTGGCATGAGGGAAGGGGATGGCGGGAGGAGATGTGTCTGGTCTGGGCAGCACTGCAAAGCTAGGCCCCCTCTGCAGCCCTAGCCACAGTCCTGGGCCTGCAGCACCCCCCACCCCCAGCAGGAGTACGTGGATGGGGTCACAGCCCCAGCTCCCGAGCAGGCCCAGCATGTCATGGACTGTGGGCACAGTGCCAGTTGCTGCCATGATTTTGCACCTACTTGCAGGGCTCCGCTCTTCGGGATTGAAGGTGGCCAGGCTCCCAATTGGGGGCACAGACTTGGTGCTGGGGGAGCCTCTGTTCCCCATAGCTTCCTGGTCCTTTCTCATAACCGACTTTTGTGTTTTAAAAATAAAGCAGGGTGCTTCCAGGCACCCGGTAAGGACCTTGGTGGCCCCTGTACACTCAGGGCAAGACTTAAGGAGCAAGTTCTAAGTGAGGAAGGCAGTCCAAGCAATGCCAGGGCAGGCCAGCCCCACATGCAGAGGGGAGCTGCCGCCGGCTGGGTGAGATGTAGGGTCTTGGGGACTGTGCCGGGTCCTGTGCCCACCAGCTACAGCACTGAAGACCCAGAGAATGTCTTGATGTTAATTTCTTCTATCATCAGAAAGAAAAATGACTATAAAAATAATGGATACATAGTAATGAATTCAGCCTAGGTCATATTGGTCAGCGTAATCATAAATTATAATTTTTCATATTTATGGAGGAAGGAACCTGCGAAGGCAAAAGAGCTCTGGTCCATGAAAAACAGATGTGGCCCTAGCCGGGTCCTATCTGTCCTGGGGCCAAGGGTCAGATGTCTGGCTCTGGGGGATCTTGGGGCCATCAGGGGGCTCTGTGAATCTGGCTTTCGAAGACTGGCAGGATAAGGCGACTCTGCCTGTTGTGGAGGGGAGCCGAGGCCAGTGGTTGTGTGAGTGGTTGTGTGTGCAGGCCTTGCTGGTGTGCATGCATGTACGTTTTGCCATGGCTTCCAGACATCTGAGTATGCAAGTCTTCATTCTGAAAACAGGCAAATGTGAGGCTGGCTCATGTGACAGTGTGGCTGTGCCCTGGGGACACAGTGGGGCTGTGTCCTGGGCGGAGGCCGTTGTCTCCCCCAGAGCAGCAGACCTCGAGGCCTAGTCACACCCCTTGTACCTACAGCACAGCCCCGCCATGTCCAGCAGGAACACCATGCCGACCAGACATGGCCACGTCTGCGACTGCAAGTGTCCCAGTGGCCACATTTTTAAAAAGCAAAAATAAAGAGGTGAGAATCACTTTAGAAATAAATTTCATTTGTTCTAATATGTGTGCATCCCAAACAGTGCTACTCCAAAGTATAGTTAATATGAATTACTAAGGAGACCTCCTCCATTTCTTGTGCACACTAAATCCTCAAAACCCTGAGTTTGATGAATATGAGAGTCTCAGTTCAGATTTTCCACATTTCAAGGGCTCAGACTCCTCTGGGACAGACAGGGCCGGGCTGGGCAGTGCAGGTTTAGCAGATCCCTGACACCCCCCCACCCCTCCCACTGCCCCAAGTTGGGAGACTGGTTTTCTGCTGCCTTTTCTTTCTCTCTTTCTCTCTCTCTCCCTCTCCCCCCTCCTCTCTCTCTTTCTCTCTTTCTTTCTTTCTCTCTCTCTCTCTCTCTCTCTTGCTTTCTTGCTTTCTTGCTTTTTCTTTTGCTGCTGGCCATCTTGGCTAAGGAAAGGACTCTTCTGTGGTTTTGCCAGCCCCCCAACCCCCTAGCCCAGCAGCCCTGGAGTGGCAAGGATGCGTGTTGGGCTGCTGATTTCAGTGCGACGGGGGGACTGTGGAGAGAGCTCTTCGCCTGTGTCCCAGACGCCAGGGGACATACAAAAGGCTGGCTTCAGGCTCACAATAGTGGGGCGGTTAGTCACAGTGCCAGGGCAGCGGGCAGGCAGACAGAGCCCCCTGTGTCTGCGCCTGTTGGGCTGGGCCCTGCAGCCCCTATTCCCTTGCCAGTGTTCTATCCCATCCCTGCCTGTGGGGTTTTGTGTGCACCCCACCCCATTCCCCGGATTAACCCCCTGCTGCCTGTTGCCTACCTGCCATCCGGCTGACACATCCTTGCCAGGCTCTGGTTTCCATCCGCCTCCCTCATAGGAGCTGGGCTCGGGCCTGCATGACTTCATCGGCCTCTCCAGGGAAGCAGGCTTCGGTGGGGCTCTGTCACTGTTGCCATGGCTGGGCACCGTCACTAAGCCCAAGCAGGGGTTTTCCTGGTGGAGAGCACAGTGGGCCGCCCCTTGCTTACAGCATCGGAAAGTATGCACTATTCTAGGGCTGAATTTCTGCAAACAATGAAAAGCTAAAACTGTGAAAAATTAAGGAGTGGCCCTGAAGCTAGTGTCTATGATGGCGTGTCTTAAAGCAAACAAATTGATATAAGTATTTTAATCTGGTGCATAGATCGATGGATAAGTTAAAAATAAATTAGTTATGACCCAGCCCTGTGTGGAGAATCCCTGAAAGCAATATTTGCTATTCACCTCAGCATTTGCTCTTTAGTAATTACAATTAAAATCTCTCCTTCTAGGCTGCCAGTCTAGAGCCTCTGAGACAGGAATAGCATTTTGTTGTGAGTTGACAGTTAAATTGTTGACACTCAGAGAAGATAGTTTTCCCCAAAATAGGTATAAAACCCAGATAGCAGTTTCGTTCTCATTTTTAATATAAGAATTATCTCTGCAAACATTCTGTAGTTTGGCTTTTCTCTTTTAAGTTAAAGTGGCATGTGTTTTTATTTTAGAAAGCAGGGATATTCTGCCTATGTGAAGACGGGAAGTAGAATAAGAGGTCTTTTGAAAATGTGCCCATCTACTTATAGCTGAAAAACTCCAAGGGCCGGGGATTTTCCTAAATGTATCCCATTTAGTCCTGTTACCTGTTGATTGTTTTCTGCAATTATTTACTTTATAATTTAAGCCCTGCCTAATCCTCAGGCTGTCTCTGGCACACAAAAAGCCTTGGTCTGTTTGGTCCATGGGACACTGGGGCCGCAGGTTACAGTCTGGGACCACCAGAATCCAGGCCAGGCAGATCTGGGGACAGAACAGGTCTGCGTCTTTGTGCAGCAGGCAGCTTGCCCTACTCTGCTCCAGAAAAGAGGCGATGGAAGACATATGCTCGGTGTACATCATTTTGTTCTGATTTATTTTAAGCCAGTGAGGATGGGTTTAGCACAAAGAGTGGTATATCTTACTTGCATTCTGAGAGCCATTGGATTTTTCATGCCGGAGTACATTTTTTTAAATCCAAATTTAGAAATTGCCTTTTAGAGTAAAAAGCCAGCGTGCTGGTTCGCCTTTTAGCCCAGTTTTAAAGAAAAATACTTAGGATAAAAAAAATTTCAGTTTGGAGATCGCTACTTACAGCTGTTGTCCAGGGGTTGGAAGTAGCTCACTGTTAACCCCAGGGGTAAAAAAGCAGGGTGTGCCCGGCAGCAGGAGGTGTCCTGGGGAGGATGTGTCCCCCAGATGCACGCTGAGTCCTCCTCCTCCTCCTGGCCACGTTTTTCCTTCTAAGAAGGAGTGTGGCATTTGTCTCTGAGGTCATCGTGTAGAAGAATCCCCACCTGGCTGGCTGAGACACTGTCACCTTCCACAGTGCGACAGACCTCCCAGCAGGACCCCAGCTGCAGCATGCCCCTCCAGGGATGGGGGCACCCGTGTATGTGCATTATTCCCAAGCAAACCCAGCAGAATCTCTGCTGATCACAGTCCCTCCCTGGCTGTGGGCATCGCTCGTAGTAATGGGGACAACATTGGGAACAACAGGAAGCATACTGGATCCCCAGGGAAACTGGCCTAGAAGCTGCTATAGAGACACAGGAGACCAAGCGAGTCAACAAGCTGTGGTGTCTGTACTGCTCCAAACCTCAGCTTCCTCAGCTTAAAATGAGAACATTGCCCGGCCATGCTTACCTCAGCCGAGGGCTGCAGAAGGGAACACGACAACGGCAGCCAGTGTTTGCCTGGCGATGCTGCCCAGTTTCATTTTCTGTTTTGAAGTGTTGCTCTACAGGGCGAAGTGCTAGGGACACAGGAGGCACCGCTACAGTCCCAATAACTTTCCTGGCAAGAGACTATGATATGGTGATGATACCATTTCTCTTCAACTTCTAAGCAGCAACAATAATTAACTGCATTCTTACTCGAACTGCATCTATGTCACAGAGCATAGATACATCAATAATGTAGTCCTTTTCTGATCCTGAAACAATGTATGCTCAATGTAGAAAATTTAAAAAATACACAGGGGAAAAGTGTTCAATCCTCTCACAAAAAGACAGCTCTGGTCACGGCTTCCTGTCCTTCCTTATTGTTGGTTCTCGCAGTATCTATTTGTAGATAACTCCACCAGGCTTTTCTGCCTGGTCCCCCTTGTCTCCTATGCACTTCTCTCTGTCAGTGGTAGCAGTAGTTCCTCCTCTAGGGCTCAGGCCCGGGGTGTTCAGAGACCAGGCCTTGGGTCTCTGGCAGCAACCTGCCGTCTCTGCAATTCTGGGAGCTCAGCTGGGACAGGCCAGACACATGCAGAGCCAGGCTGCAGGTGAGCTGTGGGCGTGGGCAAGTGGCACAGGGGCATGAAAACCCACAGCAGTAGGCAAGGTAAGTGGGCAGGGAGGGGAGGACAGGTGGGCCATCCAGACAGAAAGCACAGAGCCAATAGCGTGGGGCGGAGGCAGAAAGCACCAGAATGGGTTGGGTCCTCGGCAAAGAAAGACTCGGGCTAAATTGAGCACCGCTCCTCAGACGAACAGCGCACGGCCAGCACTGTTGAGATGATGTTTTCAAAGCATAGGCTTCATGACCTTGACTTAAGATCTCTGAGGAATGGGGGGAGGGTCATAGAAGTGAGGGCCAAGTGGCTTGGGAAGCAGGGACACAGGGCAAAGTCACAAGCCAGCATGTGCCTTAGCTGGTCCCACACATTGGCAGGCAAAAGTTTCACAGGACTAAGCTCATCGAGGGGAAACCAACAGATTTCCATATTGCTTCCTGGAGTCACTGTGGTGCAGAAGGAATTCCAGAAGTGCCAAGTTCCTTGGGGACAGAATAAATGGCATCCACAGGGTCAGCCTTGGCCCCTTTAGATTAACACGGTGGCCTCAACATCCTATCGACAGATCATGTGAGATATATTAGTAACCCACAATGTAGACACATTTCACAGGCAAGTTCATGGGCTACAGTGTTAGGTACAGGAAAGAAATACTAGTAAGAAATGAAATGGGGAACATGGTAATAAACTACCCCAGGATGAAATAATGGCATTTTGTGTCACCCTAAAAATGCTGTTGATGGAGTTTATAATGGATGGGGAAATATAGGAGACAATATTTCCCCACCTGTAAATATGTATGTGAATTATGTACTTATATACAGTAGATGAGAAGGGAACATAATAAAATACTATTTCTGGTTAATGGCATCTAGGTGAATGTTCCCTTTTCTGTGCATTTTGTACTTAATCCATATTTTTTACTTACTATTGAAATTATCTATATCTTAAATATCTATATTCATATCTTGTCATTAAGATTGTTTATATGTTAGATTTTTCTGTGCCTTCCTTAAACACATGGTATTTTTATAATGGGAGGGGGGTCATTTTGGAAGGCTTGTGAATAGGAAGACAGACAAATGGCATGTTTCCTTCCAGCTGTGGGAGACAGATGGAAGGTGGCAGAAATATTCATTAGGACAACACACATGTATTGTAAGTAAATATTTTTTGTTTTGCTATAAAAGGATTAATCGCTGGTAGCTTATTAATCAAGTTCTATATGGAGTCCCAGATCAAACATCTATACATGCACAAGGGGGATTAAAATCTCAATTAAGATTTTATGTGGATTGAAGAAGTGTTTTTGTCCCCTAAAAAACAGCACAGAGGGGAAGAGGATATTCTCCTTGGACATTTGGTGATTGTCTTATTTGTAGTTCATATTTTATATGGTGTCGAAAGGCAAATCTAAGAGATTACGTTCACCCCCAGAGAAGTCTAGAGATCCTGAATCTATAGTCAAATGATAAACTGTCGTCTCTGGATGGAAATCTTAGTGGTTTGTACTCATCATTTGCCTTCTTTAAAAAGAAAGAAAACGTAATTATTTTCTTTAGCTTTTGCTTCCAAGAGCTTCTGTCACTCAGAATACGTCTTTTCTGCCTCAGTCACATCTGGGGTGCATCTCTTGAGTTAAGAACAGAGGCCTGAGTTTTATTTTCTAAGCCATAATGTTGCAGGATTTTGTGATATGTAAAAATCTGTCCCTGTTTCCAACTAAAATTTGCTTACCCTTCAGGCAAGTGTGATTTGCTTCTCCATAAAACGAATGCCCAGGTCCTGCGGGACTAGAAAGGGTAGAATTCTTTCAAATGCAGGGTAAGGAAATAAGGCGATGTCTCCGTGGACTTCAAAGGCTCGGTGGGGGCCTCTGAGCCACCTCTGTCCGAGGTGTGCATGGGCGACCCTAGCCTGCCTCAGTTTCCCCGCGGCACAGCGAGGCTTCGGTCCGGGAGGGCAGCGCATCCTGGGAGGTCCGGGCCCGAGCCCGCCCGCCCACCGCGCGCGACCCCCTAATCCGCTTTAGCCGATCTACTCGGCGCGGCCTCCGCTGAGCAAACAGCGCACAAAGCGGCGGCCGCCGGCCCCGCGACTCCTGACCCCGGGGTCGCGCCCTTTGTCCGCCCTCGACGGGGGCCCGGCTGCCGCTAATTGGGGCGCGTGCCGCTGCTAGACCGGGCGAGGCGGGCTAGGCGCCGCGTCCACGCGGGCTCACACCCAGACCTGAACCTTAAGCGCAGACTGGCCCTGGGGCCCTGATGTCTACACATACCGAAACCCGAACCCGAATCTGCATCTGGACCCGGATTCCGGACTGAGACCTGGATCCTGGGCGCAGACGGAGCGCAGCATCCACGCAGACGCGGACCTGGCTTCCACACCAGGATCCTGGAAGCAAACCTAGACCCAGGACCCTGACGTCCACGCGGACACGAATCTGGACCCGCATCCTGACTTCGACGTGGACCGGGGCCCAGATAGGAATCACGGACTGGGACCCCAGACACAGACTCAGACCCGGCCCCTGGCTCCTGATTCGGCCCAGATGGCCCCGAACCTTGGATGCAGACTCCGGGCTCAGCCCCAGATGCGGCCTGGATCCCAGCTTGACCGGCCGAGGCTCAGACCCAGACTTGGCTCCCGCCTGGCCCTGATTGCTGCACGGCGGGGGCTCGCGAGACGCTGAGCCCACAAGCCGGACGCGCCGGACCCGGTGCCACTCGGATGCGCTCCAAGCACCCCCGACCCCGACCAGGCCCCGCCCTGAGCCCCAGCCCCGGCTCCCTAGCTCCGTGCAACCAGCGTGCGGCCGGGGCGGGAGCGCCTCTGCTTTCCCCTGCGATGGTGCAGCCCCCTCTGCAGGGCCGTGAGGACTCGGATGGAGAGGGAAGGTATTTGCTCTTGGTTGTTTTTTTTTCGCCCTTTATTCCTTCTGGGAAGCCAAATTCTCCCGAAAGCAAAAGCAGACTCCCCTGGCCAGGGAAAGAAAACCTCAGACCCTTTTGCAGGTGGCTCTCTGCCCACTGCACCTTAGTCCCTCGGCATCCAACCCTGCTGGTACCTGAGGTCACTTCCAGTGGCATCCGGATGCTGAGACTGAACGCAGCTAGCATTAAATTCAGGCTGTGACCACTGTCTGGTTTGGGTTGTTTTCCCTCAAATGTTGGACAAAGTTACCAGCTTGGGCGATTTGGCAACTTGGAGAGACCTTGTTTCAAAATAAATAAAAAGGGCTGGGGATGTAGCTCAGTGCAAAGGCTCTGAACTCAGTCCTCAGGCCCCTCGCTCCCTCCAAAAAAGAAAAGACAAAGCCAAACAAAGAAAAGAAAAAAGTTGAAGAAGGTTATAATTTTATCCCAAGGAGCTTTTGAGACTCAGATTCGTGTGATTTTTTTAAAAACAATTTTAGAAGACACTTTTTCTTGTAATTAGGTCCAAAAAAGGAAACAGGAAAAGACCCCTAGATTCCTTTGCCTTTGAAGACCCAGTGGCCCCCAGCCCCGGCCCTGCTGGGCAAGGCCCTGTGACCCAGTTTTCAGTTATTTCATTGTTTGCTGACCAGCTTTAGCTATCGAGTGGCTTTGCCAGGGAGACTTTAAAATGTCCAGTTTGTTTCTGAGCCTGGTGCTTGCCAGGTAGAACTTGGCTTCAGGGAGGCTGGTGTTTTGGAGCTGCCAAGCCATGCCTTGCCTTGCAAGGGTGGCATGGGGAGGGGTCCTGTACCATACCAGCAGCAGAGGCAGCTGCCCATGAACCTTTGCTGGGGGTGCTGAGCACCCCTCGGACACAGCCCTAGATACTCCTGCCTTCCATGGGGCAGCCTGCCAAACAACCCACCTTTGATCCTTCCTCAGTTCAGTTCCAGCCATGGCCCAGCATCTGCCTAGCCTCTCTCTTTTCAAAGGAGCAATTTTTCCATCCGATCAGCATAAGTTTGCCTCTGTGGGAAACTGAGGCACAGGCTGGGAGCCCTGGACTCCCCCACCCCAGGAGCAGGTCATCAGAGGTCCTTGCCGGCCAGAACTCTGAGAGATTCTTCTAGCCATTCTCATGCCTGCTTGGCCTTTTCTACTGAGACCACAGGCAGGGCCTCCTAGGTTCACAGAGGACACTAACCAAGGCTGGAGTTCAGGCGGGGCTCAGAACCATGCTGGCCAAGGAGGCCCCAGTTGCAGGGTGCTGGCACTCAGCAGATTAGGGCAGGGGATGAGAGATGAGAGATCTTATGGACCCTTCAGCTTGAGTGAGGTGGCCTTGCTACAAGAACTCAGGCAGGCACACCAGGGCTCTGTATCTGTGCATTTACACCCCGGGTGTACGCCTCCGGTCCCACATGGAGGGGATGGGCAGGGTGCACGTGGTGGGGCAGGTGGGAGCCTCAGATGACCAAAGCCAGCTGCAGAGCTTAGAATGGGGGTGTTGCCAGAGCTGGACCAGCTTTAGGCAGTTCTGGGGCCAAGATTTCAAAGGGGCTCTGTTTTTCCTAGAAATTGCTCTTACCTATAAAATAAGCCTATGTGTGGAGGAGTGTGAAGGGGTGGATGGTGATGTTTTCCCTATTTAAAAAAATAGCAAAAGTAACAAAGTTCATGTGTGTACAAGTAGATCGGGTCCCGGGTTTGTGTGCTCTCAGATCAAGTCACTATCCCACCTGCCTAAACCTCAGTTTCCCCAGTCTTAGAAGAGGTAAGACAGCTCTCATTTTGCCTCCCTGGCAGGGTTGGGTCACATAAGATAGTGGGAGGCCCTGCTGTGTAAATTTCGAAGTGCTAGCTGTATACACGTGAGGCACTATCCTTCTTACCTTAGGAGAAACCCTCTACCATGAAGAATGTTATGATTAAAATGCTTAGTGATTTTCGTGGTGCCTGGCACTGACTAAATGAGCAAGATGTCATTGTTGACTTGAACTATGCCAAGGCCCTCTGCACCCACGCTAGTTAGGGGGCAAGCCCAGCATGATGGGAATCTGGGGCAACTTACAGAACACCCCCACCTCTTCCAGACCTTGAACATGACGAGATGACCCCAGTTCAGGGAACCGAGCCTGACGGCTTGGAAACTCTTCTAGGATATACCCCTGAGTTGGCCCGACACTGCCCCGCCCAGCCTGGCCTGGGGAGGTACCCTTGGGGCTGAAGCCAAAGCCCTGTCCACACCCTTGGGGCTTCTGCCTTCTCCCCAGCTCCCAATCACCAAACGTGATTTTTTATTGCATGGAAATCCCAGAGATCTGTGCTTGTTGTCTATGGCAGGTCGTGCTTTCCGTGGCTTTCAGCATCAGCCTGTGTGTAAGGAAAAAGGCTGAAACCAGCAAAGATGCCGGTAGGGCCAGCCCTTCACCTGGGTGAGGGCCCCGCCAGCACAACTTCAGGTTGGCCCCTAAACCACAAGAGGAACAGAACTTTTATTGTCACACATGCACTCACACACACACATTTGCTCAAACATACCTTTGCACACCCATACGTATGTATCCCAGGATATTACTCTTGTGGAGCTAGCCTTCCATGTTCTAAGTATTAAAGTTTGAAGCACCACAAGCTGTCTTAAAAGGCTCATTCAGCCTGTCTGCCTCGGAGCTATTTTATTTATAATTCTTCTTGTCACGTCAAAGAACTCTGTGTTTCTTGCGGACTGTGTTAGGGTGGCTGAGTGTTTTGGTTCTTGGCTACAGCTGGTTAATTTTTCCGAATCTGTAGATCCAGGTGTGCGTTGACAAGCTTTTTCCCAACTTGAGAAGTTTCCCAGTGAGCCTTGGAGCCTTGCTATAAATTTCCAGAGCTCTGCGCGTGAGAGACTTCCAATTTCGAGGGAGTTGTGAGAGGGAGGATAGGAGCCAGCAATACCTGGGTCCAAGCAAACTGGGCAGTAAGCTTGGGAGGCAAGCCTTTAGCATATCGAGAATCCGAGGTTGAAAAACTGGTGAATGGGTAAAGTATTAGAAAAGTGCAAACTCTTTGTGAGAACTAGAAATCCCTGTCTCTTCATATCGTCTAAAATCAAGCACAGGAAGGAAAAATACCTGTCCAGATCTCTTGTTATTTTGAAATATTTTTAAAATGCACTCATCATGTAAAAATATATAGACTTTTATTTC